ATAGAGGCACCTGTTTCAAACTGAGATCCACTGAGATACATGTGAGATATCATATGAAAGGAAACAGTGGCTCCTAAGCAACGTTTACTAGATGATTATCAAGCCAATGCAACAATGCCATTATGTTCTCAAACGCTCCGCAAATCATCTTAAGAGAGTCATTGTAAATCACTGGAAATGGAGAGACTAATTACAAATCTGAATTTAAATGAACTTAAAATGACATTAAATTATTTGAGAGTTGTTAGTTAGTAAATTAAAATTTCTCATCTTTGTCTGTCATCATTAATGCACTTGACTTATTTAGTGAGAATTAGATTTTTTTAAACAAGCTTGCAAGTTCAAATTGATGCACTGAACAAAAATTTAGTGTAGACTTCATTTTCACTCAGAAATTGCTGGTAAATTTCACAAAGAGTTACAAAGAAACAGCAAGTAACATTCAATTCAACATGACATTTTTATAGTAATAGTACTTTCTTGTAAAACATACTCAAATAATCTGTTTTATTTATAAATATTTTTTTTATTTAAAATAGTTTTTGCAGTGTGTGGAAACAAATAAAACATGTAAAAATCAGACAGTTAAATTGTGGCCATGAATTAAGAATGAATTCCTGCACTGTAATAAATCATGGCCACAATGTACTAATTCGTCCTCTGGTTTTAATTAAATCAAAACGAGAGAATGTGCTAGTACAACGCGGCCATGATTTAATTAAACAAGGGAACAAATTAAGTTGCAGGAATGAGTTCTTATTTTATGGCATTGATTTAACTAAAACGAGTTTAGTTTTAATTAATAAAACAAGAGAACAAATTCTTCATTTGTGGCCGTGAAAAATATATTTTTGTCCACGTCATGTGCATAATTCCGTAATCAAACACCTTTCTTGACTATGAACTCTAATCAATGTCCATTTTGATCACAAATTATAACAGCGGAAAAACTCTCAAGTCTCAAACTGCAGTAATTTCACATGTAAGTAACTCTGTGTGTGTGTGTGTGTGTGTGTGTGTGCGCGCGCGCGCTCATCTCTGTGTGTGTGTGCGCTCATCTGTGTGTGTGTGTGTGTGTGTGTGTGTGTTTGTTTGCTCGCTCATCTCTGTGTGTGTGTGTGTGTGCGCTCATCTGTGTGTGTGTGTGTGTGTGTGTGTGTGTTTGTTTGCTCGCTCATCTCTGTGTGTGTGTGTGTGTGCGCTCATCTGTGTGTGTGTGTGTGTGTGTGTGTGCTCATCTCTCTGTGTGTGTGTGTGTGTGTGCGCTCATCTGTGTGTGTGTGTGTGTGTGTGTGTGCGTGCTCATCTGTGTGTGTGTGTGTGTTTGTGTGTGCTCATCTCTCTGTGTGTGTGTGTGTGTGTGCGCTCATCTGTGTGTGCGTGCTCATCTGTGTGTGTGTGTGTTTGTGTGTGCTCATCTCTCTGTGTGTGTGTGTGTGTGTGTGCGCTCATCTCTGTGTGTGTGTGTGTGTGTGTTTGTGTGTGTGTGTGTATGTGTGTGCGCTCATCTCTCTCTGTGTGTGTGTGTGTGCCCGCTCATCTCTGTGTGTGTGTGTGTGTGTGCGCTCATCTATGTGTGTGTGTGCCCTCATCGCTCTGTGTGTGTGTGTGAGTGTGTACTTGTTTATGCTACATTGAGGGGACCAAATGTCCCCAAAAGGATAGTAAAACCTGAAATTTTTGACATTGCGGGGTCTGGCCTGCGGTCCCCACGAGGGAAAAAATTATGAAAAATAGTAAATGATGTTTATCTGAAAGTGTAAGAATGCAAACAGGTTTTCTGTAAGGGGTAGGTTTAGGGTTGGAGGATAGAAAATATTGTTCGGTCAGTATAAAAGCAATAGAAGTCTATGGAAAGTCCCGACAATTCACAGAAACAAACAAGTGTGTGAGTGTGTGTGTGTGTGTGTGTAGTCCATCCTCCTGTAATGAGAGCAGACGGTTCAATTCTGATGTCAAAGCGCTCACTATACCGTCAGTGCGTGTGAGAGCCGTTCACACATGACGGTGGTGTGTGTTTGCTGCAGATAAACCTGTCCATATTCATACGGTTCAGAGGAACACAGGTAATCTCCTGCTATCTGACAGCTAGTTAAACACACCGGTCCAGTCTGCCTTCTTTAATACATCACACACACTTACAGAAAAGCTACCTGCAGCCCGCTCCCACACACATATGAAAAAATGAAGAATCCAATATAAAACCACCATGAATAAGATCCAAACCTAGAATAAAATAATCCATAATAACGCTTCCTCCAGTGAAAAAGTGCATCTGCTGTTGTCTCTCGCATCAAAATCCAGCCACATATGTGTTTAGAGCTGTTTAAACGCTGCTTGATCTGTGCAGATCTCTCTCCTGATTCACACCAGAACACTTTTTCACTGGAGGAAGCGTTATTATGGATTATAGACTCGATGTATTTTAGTTAAAACCGTCTTAATGCTGGATTAGTTTCAGCTTTTGTCTTCTCCAGATGTTAACTGATGGACTGGAGTGTTGTGGATTACTTGTGCATTATTGTGATGTTTTTATCAGCTCTCGTTCTGACGGCACCCATTCACTTGCAGTGACACTGATGCAATGCTACATTTCTCCAAATCTGATGAAGAAACACACTCATCCTGATCTCGGATGAACTGAAGGTGAGAACATAAATAAAACATAAATAAAAATTCCCCTATGAGATTCACCAGAAAGAACACAAATAACAAGATGTTTTGCATAAGAAAAGACTCAAGTGATTTCACATTTGTCTCCTCTAAACTCTCCAATCATTCATTTCATAGCACTAAACATATTTCAGTTCTTCATCCTTAAAACCATATCAACATAATCAAAAGTCTCCCGAGTGATTCCAGCCACAATAATGAGCAACACAAAGAGATTTCTCTCTCATGTGTGGCAGCTGTGCATGATGGGATTCGAAATGCATCACAAGCGTAAAGTGGATATTAACCTTGATGTAATGAGTTTATCTCCAGCTGAAAACAGCCAAATAAAGGTGAAATGAAACGCACAAACACAAGCGTGTGACTGCAAACAGCAGCATCTCTCTCTGGAAGCGTCACAATGAGAAGGTCAGAAGCGCTGGCCTCTCTTTTACTCGCAGCATAAAGCAGTCTGGCCTTTGGAAAGCAGTAATGAAGGATAATCTCTGAAAGACGGGTTAGATACGCTGCTGGCCAGACTGACAGCCGCAGGTCTCTCAGGAAGAAAGAATGGGAAACAAGTCAGGAATGAAAATGTCAGTGTCAGAGAACAGCTACGAGCTGCCAGACGCCCTGCGCTCGTCCAGATTCATCAAGAGCCCACCTGACAAAGAGCAAACACAAACAACAAGCACCAGCCAAAGCCTAATTAGACAGAAGGGGGGCAAATCAAACAATCAGCATTTCTGAACAAAGACGTCCTTCATTCAAGGACACAGTTTGTGTTCAGACTCACAGAAGAACTCTCTAATGAGTCGCTTACCATCAGAAAAAGAAAAGAAAACACCCTCAGTGTATTACTGGCATCTAATGTAGATATTTTTTCACAACTGTACAGACAATAACATGTTCTATATGCAAAACAAACGTCCCACCGTCATGCTGAAATAACAAATGAGAGCAGAACTACACTTGACAACGTTTTGCAAGACACTGACCTTGATGATTAAATGCAGTCACAATGCATTTCACTTCGCTAATGTGATGCATCTGTGAGTAACTTACTGGACCCTTTTCACATTTAACTTTATTATTATCATCATTATTTTATTTTTTCATTTTCGTTCTTAAAAAATAACATGATCTATTCAACCAGTATTTTAATTCAATTTGACTTGAAAGTTCTGAAGAATTTAAATAATGGTTGGGTTGTTATAGTTCACTAAAACTGAAACTTAAATGAAACCTTTAAAAACAATTGTTACTTGAATAAAATAAATATTAACGGAAATAAAATAAAATATAAAAATGCCAAGGCAACACTTCTCATTTTAATTTAGTTTAACTTGATGAACTGAAATAAAAAAAAATTAAAACTGAAATAAAAATGAATTAATACTATAGACATAAAAAAAAATGAAATGAAAATAAAAATTGAAAATATAAAAATAAAAACTGGTCCAAAATATTAATAAAAGCTATAATAGTATCTCAATGCTACTAAAATAACACTGGGTTGAATATATAATTTTGCTTTTAAAGAATTTAATTTTTTTATATATATTTAATTAATTATTTTGTTTTTTCCCCATTTTCGTTCTTCAAAACGGCCAAGTACAATATACAGTACAAATTGTCATGCTGTGTAACTGTCTGAATACAGCCTTTTGTTACAATGTAACTAGATTCTATTTTCAAATGCTTAAAAGCATCCACACTGCTACATTTCAATTCAAAAATGGAACTGACACCAAGCTGCCACTCATTCCCAAACATTCCCTTTTTGTAATCCATTCAAAAAGTCACAGGTTTGGAATGACATGAGCGTAAGTAAATAACAACAGAATCCACATGTCCAGGTTAACTAGTCCTGAAACAGGTACATCACACAAAGAGACTGCTGTTCTTTGTTTTACTCACACGAGCAGACGCCTGCTGAATTTCTCCGTGTGGATCGATAGAGCCGATTTTCCCGGTTTTCCCGGTTTTCCCTGCTTCTGTCATTCCCCTCTGTAAACACGTTTGTCCGCTGACCCTCACGGCCCGCAGGCGTCTGTCTCACCCAGGAACCCCCGGCCGCCCGCTCTATTCATCTCAGTAATTGTCTGTATGAATTATTTACCTGACTCGGAGGGTGAATATGAATCCATTACTCTCTGCTTCAATTATCAGAGCGGGCATTATGGGAAATGACAGGAGAAATGATTACGGGATTCATGAGCTGTAATATGCATGACCTCAGAGAGTCGTGTACATTCATCTATCACTCCATATCTTTGCATTCATGGAGAATGTCTCTTGATCCAGCACCCGAGGCATTAGACGCAGAGGAAAGCAGAGACACTTACCAGAAATATCCTCTCCAGCTGATCCTGAATGTCCTTCATGCCCGGGAACGCCGCCACTCCCTGGATCATTTCCACGAAGATGCATCCGACACCCCTGAAACACAGAAAAACACCACTGACTCTCTAACCTTCAGAAAGTGAAGCTTGCCAGATTTGTGCGTGAATATCAGAATCTTTTAATGCAAAGCTTTCTTTCAAAGCTTTTTTTTTTTTTTGGTTTAACATTTTTGTAATATTATTTTTATTACATTTTCTTGAAACACAAGACTGACACATGTACATACCGTGTCTGTAACAATACTTACTATGTACAGTAAAGAAAAGAAAACAAACAAACAAACACTAGGGGCTCATATTACATAAAAAGCACAAAACCAACAAAGGGTTAATACAGTCTGTACTTTGGAAGATAGATTTAATAATCCATTGCAAACAATAACAACCGCAGTTGTAAGGGGTTAATATAATGCACATTAAAATACATTTAAATACCCAATCAAGAATTTTGATCCTCTATTATATTGTTAATATCCCTACATTCAATAAATAATAAAAATGGACTCCAGATTTTCTTAAATTTAGCTTGTTTACCCTTAAGCATATAGGTTATCTTTTCCATTGCAATGCATGAAGATATTTCTCTTAACCAATGAGTTATGGTAGGCCTTTCTGTCTTTTTCCAATAAATGGCAATGAGCCTTTTGCCATGTAAACTGCACATATCTATCAATACTTGATTATCCTTTTTAATTTTTCAATTTTCTGGATGAAAGCCAAGAATGAAAAACCCTGGATCTAATGGTAACCTTATTGAAACCATATGCTCTATCATATTTCTAATTTCTTTCCAAAACTCTTTTATTTTGTCACATTCCTTTTGCACTGTTACATTTAAAACAAGTATCTGGATGTATAATGGGAAAAAGCTTGATTATTTTTATTCAGATTTATTTTATTCCATTATTGATGTAAAATAAAATCATACTCTAAAAAGGGTACATTTTTTAAAATTGAGATTTGTACATCATCTGAAAGATTAATAAATAAGCTTTCCATTGATGTGTGGTTTGTTAGGATAGAACAATATTTGAAAATCTGGGATCTGAGGGTGCAACAAAATCTAAATATTGAGAAAATCATCTTTAAAGTTGTTCAAATGAAGTTCTTAGCAATGCATATTACTAATCAAAAATTAAGTTTTGATATATTTACGGTAGGAAATTTACTAAATATCTTCACTGGAATATCCTAATGATTTTTGGCATTAAATAAAAATCAATAATTGTGACCCATACAATGTATTGTTGGCTATTGCTACAAATATCCCCCAGCGACTTAACACTGCTTCTGTGCTCCAGGCTCACGTATTAAGTTTTAGCTATGTTGTTGGGTGTTTTTGTCATTTTCAGTAGGTTTTGTTTTTTATATAGTGTATGTCCATGGAGTTTTTAATGCATCTTTCTTTCAGTTTTTGTTTGAGTTACACTTTAGTACATCAAGTTTGGAAAAATGAAATGAAAAACAAAAATGTTGCATTGAAAAAATTTAAAATATATACATTTTATGCTTTATTTTATTTTATTTGACATTTATTTTATTTCAAGTAACATTTTTTTGTTTAGTTTCAGTTTTAGTTAACCATAACAACCCTGGTAGATATAATGCAATGCTGGTGTGTTTCATCATCTTGCGATTGCTTCCTGACACATTCTGGTCCAGTGCACACAGCTGTGTCCTTCTGACAGCAAGCCAGCAAGAGCCACGCAAACACACACCAGCAGTGAAAAACACAACGCAACCAGCCTCCCAGCATCAGTCTATCCGTCTCCATAACAGAGCATTTCAAATCAGAATGTAGTAATTCCTTATGCAAATGTTGACATATGACGAGATTTTATCCATGTGCATAACCATTTTAAGTTTCATTACATTACTCTAACATTATCACACTCTCAGTTGCACAAGACTGAAATTGCAAATCCCCCGCCCCCCCTTGAAAAATATAATTTATATTTCAGGATATAATTTAAACTCAATAACCAAGCGGATATAGGTTTGACTTTCAATTTGACGTGTCCAAACTGAGATTACGTGACATTTTTGTGACATTTGAGTGGCATTCTGCTCATCCGCTCGCTGAGACTCGAGAGTGTGAAGGTCTTCTGGACCGGGACAGACAGACACACACACACACACACACACACACACACTCACACTTTCACACTCACATACAAGTGTCTGGCTGCAATTCTAATGACTTGATTTGTGCAGCATCTGTGAATCTGCCACTCAAGAGAGGAAAACACTGCAATGCTCCACTGCGCTCAGCATCGATTCACACACAGAGAGAATGAGACACGACATAAATGAGACATGCTCATGACATAAAAACTGAAACTAAACAGACTAAAGAAGAAGAAAGAGCTTCTGTGATGAAAAATATCAGAAAAGATCCCATTCAACAAAAACAGCCCCTAATGTGATCATTGCCAAGTGATGATAGAAAAATAAACTTTAAAGTTTGTAATAAAGTTTATCTATATAGATAGATAGATAGATAGATATATAGATATAGATAGATAGATAGATAGATAGATAGATAGATAGATAGATAGATAGATAGATAGATAGATAGATAGATAGATAGATAGATAGGAGTGTGTATATATTTTTTTCGATCTGAAAATAATCTTGTGACATTTTCCCTCTGGTTTTATTTCGATGATGTTTAAAAATAAAAAATATATATTTATTAAAAATATACATACATACATGTATTTCTCATCCTGCTGTCATAGTGCATGAACAACATTACATTGTCTTTGATTTCTTTGAATACAATCTGACAGTTTTTCCAACTGCTTACACACATTTTCAAAACTTTGTCTCTTTTTTTCAAAACTTCACACACAAATCCAAGAACTGCACACAAAAAATATCAGAAAAGATCCCATTCAACAAAAACAGCCCCTAATGTGATCATTGCCAAGTGATGATAGAAAAATAAACTTTAAAACTTTAAAGAAAGTTTATCTATATAGATAGATAGATAGATAGATATATAGAGATAGATAGATAGATAGATAGATAGATAGATAGATAGATAGATAGATAGATAGGAGTGTGTATATATTTTTTTCGATCTGAAAATAATCTTGTGACATTTTCCCTCTGGTTTTATTTCGATGATGTTTAAAAATAAAAAAAATATATTTATTAAAAATATACATACATACATGTATTTCTCATCCTGCTGTCATAGTGCATGAACAACATTACATTGTCTTTGATTTCTTTGAATACAATCTGACAGTTTTTCCAACTGCTTACACACATTTTCAAAACTTTGTCTCTTTTTTTCAAAACTTCACACACAAATCCAAGAACTGCACACAAAATGCAAAATGCCTCTCATCTCTTGCAAAATGAAGCACTGCATTCAAAATATCACATACGCATCTCAAAAGCAAACATTTGCAAACACCATTGCCGTAATATTAATTCATCTTAGATTTTTGAGTGTTACATAGAGAATTGTGTATTGTGTTTTGCAAAAAGTGTTGTATGAAATTGAACTCTAAGGTCGAGAATCAGTGTATGGTTTTGCAGATTTGGTGCATGCTTCTGTTGTTTGAGTGTCAGCTTTCAGAAACTGTGCAACAAGAAAAGATTTTGTGTGTAAGCAGTTGAAAAAACTGTAAAAAAATAAAATAAATAAATAAATTTAAAAAAAAAGGAGAATCTTTATAAAACAATTTTTGCCTCCCACTGTCATAATGCATGCACCTCACTAAATGTTTCTCAGGTTTTATTTTCAGGACATTTAGATATTTTAACTGCAAAACAAGAAAAAATGCTTTTTGCACTGCATTGGTGAGTTGCATGGGTGTGCCCTTTAAGTGCACTACACAGTGTGATGTTGAGTTGCAGTATGGGAGCAAAGGATGTGGGTTTGAGTGTGATGGCTGCAGAGATGATGGAGACTCACCACATGTCCAGACAGGTGGAGTAGTCTGTGGATCCCAGCAGCACGTCTGGAGGACGATACCAGAGCGTCACCACCTCATTAGAGTATGTGTGGCTGGGGACCGACTTCGCACGGGCCAGACCTGCACCAAACACACACACTTGTCACTTTGAATAAAAGCATCTGACAAATGCATTATTGTAAATATCACAGTGACAGTCATGGGTTAAACTGAGCCTTCAGTTCAAAAAGAACAGAAAACGATTGTCTGTCAATCCCAGTTTTGTTTGATCCACTCCATGTTTTGTCTCTATTTAGTGAATGTACTCACTCGAAACCACCATTGAAGTTCATTACATTAAATATTATGCCACCATCTTTTATCTATGCATCTTTAAAAAAAAATGAAAATTCAGCTTTCCATCACAGAAATAAATTATATTTTAAAGTATATTAAAATAGAAAACCGTTATTTTTATTATTAACTTTTTTTTCGGTATTTTGATCAAATAAACGCAGCCTTGAGGAGCAGAAGATATGCAAATATAATAATTTCATAAAATATACAACTATCATGACATATTAAAGTACATAAAAATATAGAATAATATTATATATTAACATGAAAAATATACTACCATGATATACACTTGGCATATTTAAGAACATTTAAGAGCTACCATCTGCATGTTTCATGAACATTATGAAATTAAATTATGTTTTGGAGGCAAAAAAGGTCAATATTTTCAAATCCGTCAGGTGTTCTAATAATTTTGGCCACCACTGTATGCGCTAAAATATAAGGATATGTGTATTTTTTTTACGATATTATATTTGTATATCTGTATATATATGTTAAAATACATAAAAAAATATGCAACTATTACAATATTTTAATATATAGAAACAAATATATCATAAAAATATACAATTATCATATTTTAACAAATATACATATAATATACATATATTTAAACTAGTGCTGTCAATCCATTAAAAAAATAATGAATTAATCCCACATTTTTTCTGAAATTAATCGCTATCAATTTTAACATTTATTAGACTACTTAAAATAACTTCCAATTTGAGTGAACTTCACATAAACCCATTATAATAAATGTCACATTTACGTGTGCCCTTCAGCAAGTAGGAAATATACAGAAATTGAATAAATTTATCAAACACTAAATTCTAAATTAAATATAGATGAATCCTTAAAGCTACAAAATTTATTGATCTCCTCTTTTTTTCTTTTAATCCTTGATTACCAGACATCACGGCAGCTGGTTATTAGGTTTATTGTCTGCTGTCCCTTTAAGAGCTGCCGATGCTAAACGTGACGTGGATCTGACACACATCTCTTTACCTATTGTGACCCACTTCAGTTCTTAAAGTCTCTACTATTGAGTTGAATCGGGTGTGTATCATATAACAAATTAGGGATGCACGATATATCGGCCACCATATCGGTATCGGCCGATAAATGCTCATTTTTTCTGTTATCGGTATCGGCCCGATAAGAAAATTTGGCCGATATCTTTAAGCCGATAAATAATGCATTATTTCCTTCAGAGACACTTCAGATGCGCGCTGTTCGTTTGCAGCCTTTTGTGCAGTTGTACGTTGTAATATTGTGTTTATTTGATGTATATCTGATTTATCTCATATAGAATGCATTTGGTTAAGTTAAAAGAGCGCTTCAGTTTACCGGTGATAAATTCAAACAGCAACCAAAATTTTCATATCGGTGCATCCCTATAACAAATACATACATACACGCACAGTTTTAAGGCAGTTTTAATTGCCTTTTATGGTAACTTCATGACTTAACTGACGACATAATTACGACATTGCATGCTCGTAGTTTCTTTTGCGATTTAATATGAAAAGATACAGGCTACAAGCGCGCGCATTTGTGGTGCAATTGAAGAGCGAGCCTTTAAAACCTAAATATTTTTAACACGTTAAACTGAAAAAATTACTTGCTAAAATATTTGTATTTATTTATATATGTTAAAAGAGAGATATTATGCCCCTTTTTACAATATGTAATATAAGTCTCTGGTGTCCCCAGAATGTATCTCAGAATCAGAAGAGCTTTATTACCAAGTATGTTTACACACACAAGGAATTTGACTTGACGACAGGAGCTTCCAGTGTAGAAGAAAGTACAAACATAGTGCAGACATACATGATAGTGCAGACATACATAGGAATAACACAGAAGGGATGTAATATAACACTAATATAATAAAAAAAGAAAATTTGAAAAATGTAATAGTGTACTATATACAGAAATAGAAGTATAGGAAAAAAATTTTTTGTTTAGATAAATGTACAGATATGTTTATTAGTGTGCAGATATGTTATTTACAAAGTTCATGCCCCCCTTTTCCAGAATAGAGCTGTGCCATTACAGCTCGGACCTGCTAAAAACATCTGTTTTGGTTCTGATTATCATGTTTATCGCGCTGAAATCATGCGTTTTAAACCATATTAGTTTAAACTTCTGATATACAGTTTTCTGAGCGCACACATCCGAAGCACACGCACAGAAAGCGGCTGTCTCAGCATGTGAGTACTAAACTAAGTTCTCATTCACAAACAAGTTTACGTTAAAAACACACATGAGTTACAAAAACAGTCGGTTATGTCTGTGAAGGTACACAGCTCGGAAAGTAATCGCATGTTTATTTTAGATCTGTGTGGCAGCAGCAATATACAGTAAATAAATCAATAAATCCACTGCTCTCTAGTTTTGTTTTGCTCAAACTTTCACCATGGCATTAGAACTAGTACACCGTTGTCACTTGCGAAATCAAAATGACAGCGCCGTGGGTGGAAATTTACCGATTAAGGGGTGGTAATATTATAATGAGATCCCTTTGCCACGTCATCCAAGGGAGTGAAATCAGACGCGCTCATTTTCTCAGACGCTTGCAGAAAAAGGCTTACCTAAACTAAGTTACTGGGTTAATCTTTTTCACGTTTCCTTGGTTGGTAGATGCACCCTGGAAAAGTCAGATTTTCATGGTATGTCACCTTTAAAATATCATGATAGTTGTATATTTGCTTGATATTACATTCATATATATGTTAAAATATCATAAAAATATAGAACTGTCATGATATTTGTGGTGGTCTAGATCAGGCAATCTCAAATGTTTTACCACCTCTAAAATCCCAGTTAAACCCTGGGAACAGCTTTCTGTCGGTGGACATTTACTTGTAGCATTTGTTAAAGGGGGGGGGTCTAATACTATTTCATGCATTGAGTAATTTACACTGTTAAAGAGTTGGATTCTCATGCTAAACATGGCCAAAGTTTCAAAAAACTATTTGAAAGTAGAATGGAGAATTTCGGTGTTAAATACATTCCTTCCAGTTTCGTACAAGTTTCGGAAAGTTTTTTTTTGATCGTGGTTCTTCATGATAACTTTGTTCAGCATCCCAAAAGAAACAGTGGATGCAGTTTGTTTTTCCGGGGGGGAGGGGAAGCAACGGAGTTTTGCACGTGTGTTTGTTGACGAAAGTTTTATAAACAAGGTTCAGTTCGGTGCTGGATTTGCACATCGCTTGATACTGAAAGATGGAGCGGTCCCAGCTATAAAAGATTCCGGTCATGATCCGGAACTGCAGACGGTAAGTGAAACGGCATCAAATGTCTGTTTTGTTGGCAATCGGCGCTCAAGTGCTCGTGACTCTTTAGCTCCACCCACGGCGCGCCTCCAGGAGCTCGGCTGTTTTCGGAGAGCATCGTAAAGCTGTATCTTTCTTTTATAAATATGATCAAACTAAAGACTCTTTGGAGATATAAAGGATGCAGTACTACTCTATAGGTACTCAAGATTAACATGAGATCGGGTGAAACTGTGTGTGTTATGTTCCCTTTAACATCTTCTAAGCTTAACTGATTCAAATTCTGACACTAGCAACAGTGAGGTCATGGGTTCGATTCCCAGGGAAAGCAAAAACTGATAAAAAAAGTGGTCTAACTGTAAATGTTGATCTCAGCTCTTAGAGGAGACTTGTGATGAAATGCAGCGTCCTCCAGGTGCCGAGGCGTTTAATTAACCCGTTTGACTTAAACAGGCTTGACTTCCTGCACTGGGTGTTTAAAGCGCTCTGTCGGGACAGAAATAGCGCCGCAGCTTCACGCCAGTGTAATTTGCAGTCAATAATCCTGAGCTAAACAAAGGGAAGAGAGAGTGAGAGGCTATCATTTCCCCGGCGCGGGGCGGTTCACGCGCGACAGAGCCTCTAATCGGCATCACTCTGAACTCCAGAGTAACAGCAGCGCAGCCGCATCTGAGCGACTAATTGATGGGAGGAAACCGGGAGGCGAGGGGTCAGAGAGGTCACTGATGATGAAGGCAATCGAGGAGGAGGATGCCCTGTCCTTGTCCCGGCCGGTCGTCATGGTAACGGCTCGTAAAGAAGGCCTGTGCCGCATCAAAGCGCTCCGGATCTCCGCGGGTCTCCAGAGGGGGTCAAAGGTCAAGCTGAGTGAATTATCACTCACTGTCTCACAGTCACATGACAGAACAAGACAAGGAGGCGAGCAGAAAGGCTAGAGAGAAATTACAATAGAATTGTATCCAAATAAAATCAATATTGCAATATGACTTGATGTGATTGTCTGTGATTTAATTAAATAAATATATATGCTACTGTGGTGTGGTTCATGATAGTGTTTCATGAAAAATATACAACATCATATATAAAAATATACATAATATTTGTAAAAAAAAAAAATATATATATATATATATATATAT